CACATGGAAGAAGCACACCAGCCTGTGTGATCACGAGGTGTTGAAGGGATCTTGTATCAGGCATCAAAGAGCAAAAAATCAAATCATTGTGAATGAAGGGAGTGCAGATTGGGGACCCAAGATCCATCTGTAGGTAACTGAACACCCTCTTACAGAAGGGTTGCAAGGTGGAGACAAGCCAGTCAGGGTGCAGTGTAGCAACAACGAAACATACAACTTTCCTCTAGTTTCTAAATGCTTCTCTGCACCCCGCCCCCCACTATCATGATCCCAATTCTACCTTACAAATCTGGCTAGACCAGAGGATGTACACTGGTACAGACAGGAACTGGGAACACAGGGAATCCAGTATAGCACTTCGGGACCAGTGGTGAGAGTGGTGATACCGGGAGGGTGGGAAAGGGGAACTGATTGCAAGGATTTACATATAACCTCCTCCCTGGGGGGATGGACAACAGAAAAGTGGGTGAAGAGAGACATTGGACAGTGTAAGATATGACAAAATAGTAATTTATAAATTATCAAGGGTTCATGATGGAGGGAGGAGCAGGAAGGGAGGGGGGAAATGAGGAGCTGATGCCAAGGGCTTAAGTGAAGAGCAAATGTTATGAGAGTGTTGAGGGCAGCGATTGTACAAATGTGCTTGACACAGTTGATGTATGTATGGATTGTGATAAGAGTTGTGGGAGCCCCCAATAAAATGATTTTTAAAAACCGAGGAGGAAAAAAAAAGGAGGAGGAAGGTTGTTAATCAGAGTATCTGTCCAAGTTGGGCTGCGATCTGAAAGGTCAGCAGTTGGAAACAATCAGCCCCCTGTGGGGAGGAAGACAGGGGTCTCTAGCCCCGGAAATGAAGAGTTCCCATTTGGGAACCCCTCAGGGCCAGCTCCACTCTGACCTTTAGGGTTGTTCGCTAAGAGCGGGCCTCGATGGCAGTGAGTTGGCTTGGTTGGTCCAAGAGGAGACCAGGCTTTGCGTGTCTGATGGGTACCTTTGGGTCCTTCCATCTCAAGGGTGTGTGAGTGCGGGTGCTCTCGGCTGCCAGGAACAGACACCCACGTAAAACGGCCTGAATAGTCAGGGAGGGAAAACGAAACATGACGTCCCGAGAGGAGGGTGGCTCCTGGGTGTTTTCAGCAGATCTCTCTGCTCTGCCTCCGCAGGGTGGAAGCTCCGCCTCAGGCCCAGGCAAAGTGCCACCAAACACAGCAGTGTCCTACAGAAGAGGCACAGGCCCCTTCCCCCAACCACCTGCCCAGGAATGACCACGGCTAATTTAGGCCACGTGGCCCTGGACCAGCAGCACCGGCAGCAGACATGCTGCTTCTCAGGCCCCAGCCATTCTGTGGCTTTACACATGCTGAGGTTTGGGGCCTTCCTCAGGATTGAAGCTGCAGGTGGACACAGCTGAGAGGCCTGTGCTGAGAAGTGGGGGTGGGGTGGGGCCCAGCTGTGTGTCAGCCCCCCGCCTCTGCCTTCTCCCCTCCCCGCAGCTTCCAGAGGTTCACCGACTGTTACAAGCGCTTCTACCAGTTGCAGCCTGATGTGACCCAGCGGGTCCATGACAAGTTCATTACTCAGTTGCAGACTTCCATCTGGGTGAGTAAGGAGCCCTGGTGGCACTGTGGGTTGGCACTGGCTAGCCTCAGGGTTGGCAGTTCAAATCCACCAGCCGTTCTCCAGGAGACAGCTGAGGCTGTCTGCTCTGGGGAAGACGTACCGTCTTGGAAACCCTGTACGGCTGGCATGAGTCTGGAGGGACTCCATGGCAGTGGGTTTGTGTTTGTTTTTGATCTGGGTGAATTAGCAATAGCAGGCAATTGGAGAAGCATGTAAGTGACACCCATGTCACATGGAGATACCAGCAGGTGTCCTTGGCTTGGTCTCAAGGGCAGTGATACCACGTCTGCCCCCTGCTTCCTCAGCCCCTAGAGCCCGCTCTTCAGGTCCAGGGCCTGCAGCACCAAGCACCCTCCAAAGTGGGTATCTTAAATGCCTCCTTCTCAAATTGTCCTCGTGTTTATATGTTGTCTGCCGAGCTAGCCGGATGAGCTCAGCAAGGGCAGGGCTGAGTCTCCCTCCCCTCCTGTGTCAGCACCTGACCCAGAGGGGCGTCTCATCGACTACCCGAAATCAATGGGGCCGCACAGAACACACACTGTAGAAAAGTCCGTGGTTTTTCTCCTGTCATTCAGTAGCCGAGAGAGCTCTTGGGATTAAGCTTCCAGGCTGTCACGTCCCCCTGCCCACCTCCCACCTCCAGACGACTCACGAGGCATCACCCTGTGCTGTCAGCCAAGGGCGCTCTGGGCGTCAGGGGTGCAGGAGGGCCAGAGGGCAGCTGCTGTGGAGGTGGTGGGAGGAGAGGTGGGCATGGAGAGCAGGGTGGGTGGCACAGCTGCCTGATGGGACACAGGAAAGGGCCACCTTTATTCCCCAAGAATGAGGAGCCCTGGAGGGCGGGAGCCAGTGGGCAGCAGGTGTGGTCCAGTACGGCAGGTAGGCCCAGGAGGTAAGGTCAGGGGCCTTTAGTGCCACGGGGTGGGTCGGGACTGGACAGCTCAGCTGGGCAATAGGAAAAGGCTTGCTCTAGGCCATGCAGTAGGAATTTTGTTCTTAATTTTCTCCATTGTACAGCTACATGTTGTCGAAAAAGGACCCGGAACAGAAACTAGCTAAGGTCATACTGGGTGCCTAGCAGCTTAGCATACTTCTGCCTGGTTGCCTCGACGCTCATACCCCCCACCCACCCTCTCCTTCAGGAGGAGATCACCGAGATCAAGCAGGAGGGGAACATGGAGGCCGTCCTGAATGCTCTGGACCAAATTGTGGAGGAAGGCAAAGGCCGCACAGAGCCAGCCTGGTGAGGGGGCCGGGCGCTTGGGGCCTGGAGGCCGAGAGGCCTCTCTGACAGGGACGGGTGGACAAGACAGACTGAGCAGTCCCCAGAGATGGCTGAACTGCACTGCACAGCACTTGTCGGGAGGGCAGGTGCGCTGCCCTGGGTAGGAAGTGAGGCAGTTTGTGGCAGGCCTGCGGGAGGGGAGGGGCCCCAGCTGGGACTCACGGAGCGGCTACTCCCTGGTCCACACGCAGTAGCACTGAGCACCTGCGGCAGGTGCCAGCCCCACCTGCTTCAGATGCCCGGAGGCAGCAGCGCCTCAGACTAAACCATGGAGCCTGTGCCAGCTCAGCGGCCCAGTCAGATCCACAGGGTTTCTGAGCCTGAGCGTCCTCTGCCTTCTCCCCCAGCGAGGCTGGTGCTCCCCAACTGCTGAGCTTGTGGTTGGGGACCGGGCTCTTCAGCAGGGAGCAAGGTGGACCAACACTGGCTCCCAGAAGCCACTGTCTCCATGGCAGCCAGATGATGCTGGCAGGTGGAGGGAAGAGGCCCCAGGCCACCTGCATCCTCACCCAGAAGAAGAGGCTCCTGGCCAGAGTAGACTCCTTTTGAAACTGTCCAAATCATCTATGTTTTGTGACTACAAGCTTTGGGACTGAAAAAAACATTTTTTTTTGTAAAGAACTCACAGTGGCTACACACACACACACACACACACACTCACACTCAGAAGTGACTGACTCTCATCTCTGCACATCCTGCCCCCGAGCCACCTTTCCTCATCTTTCCCATACACTGTACCCCCACCCAGGGAAGGATGGGCCAGCAGCCCACATGGTCACAAGGCAGGGTAGGAGAGCTTGGAGGGTTGGGGCTAACAGGGACCCCGGCAGAGGAGAGGAGACTGAGATGTGCGTTGAGTGAGGGGCGGTAAGCCCTTGGACACGGAAGTTCAGGGGCCCTCTGGGGGTCTTGGGAAGTGAGGGAAGCCAGCCTGACTGACTGGGGCTGAAGAACCCTCACTCCCGCCCCTGTGCCCCGTGCCCATGTGGCGTTGCAGGCGGCCCAGTGGGGTCCCCGAGGAGGACCTGCGCAGCACCATAGTGCCCTACTTCCTGCAGCAGCGCGACACCCTGCGGCGCCGGGTGCAGAGACAGGAGGTGGAGAACCAGCAGTTGGCAGAGGCCGTTCTGGCCAGGCGCAGGCAGGTGGAGCAGCTGCAGCTGCAGGTGCAGGCCCGGCAACAGGCCTGGCAGGTCAGTGGCCCCACCCTGCCCTTTGCCCTTCCTTCCCAAACTGGGGCTTCCTCCTCTCAATGTAAGGGCCTTCTTAGGAAGTAGGAGGGCCTGCCCACGCCCCTCTGCAAATGGGCCCCCATCGCCTCTGCCCCCGGGAGACCACGGTGCAGATGAGGAGGGGACAGGTCTCAGAGGGAAGGCGACTACTCCTTGTCAGAATCAGGGTGAAAAATCGGGGTGTCCAGGACCCTGTTCCTCCATGTGACCATTGGCCTCTGATTTAAGTGGCCTGCACTGGAACTGGAATGGCCTGGAGACATCTGAAAAAGCACCTTCCACATAGGGGGACTTCCTTTGGTCAACCAGCCCAGAGCCACTCGGGGCCCAGGGGGGGAGAAGGTGGCTGGGTGGGATGACACAGGTTTGGCTGCAATGATGAGGTGCGTTTTCCTAGTGGCCTGACATGCGGTCCCAAGAGAGGGTAGGCTGGTGACAGCATGCTAATTCTTCTCATGTCCATCGGGAGCTGTCCAGCTCATGTCCACCCAGAGCCGCTTGGCTGAGAGAAACGCCCCCAAATGCACAGCTCCTCATCCCAGCCAGTGGTCACCGAGGCCCTGCAGGAGCCTGAGCCTTGGGAGGAGGTGGTGGCAGAAGGCCAGAGACCTCTCCTCCCCATTGCCCCGGCCCTCTAGCTCCTCCCACATTCCCGACTGCTCCTGCAGACAGGCGACTGGCATGGCGGTGGTTGTCTAAGGTCGCCCTTCAGAGTCTCGCAGGGCAGGTTCTACAGCTCAGAGCCTTGTTTGCCGCATGTCAGGCCACTAGGAGTCCACCCTCCTGTCCAGAGTCCACCCTCCTGTGTTCGTTCGCCAACAAGACAGGGCCCGCCTGTGCTCGCCCGCCTGCAGGAGGCCTCGGCTCCCTCCCTCACTGCTCACACACCTGTGCTGTTATAGAGAGCCCCTGCTCTCAGACCACACCCCACTGCCCAGCCAACAAGCCTGGCACTATGGTCTTAAGTTGGTCAGTTGGACGGAGGGGGATGTTCTGCTCAGTGCCCCACGTGGGAGCTCCAGCGAGCTTATTCCCACCAAAGCTTCTCTGTTGCGGGTCCACTGGAAGAAACCCTCTCTGCTAGAGGGGCCAGTGGGGCCCCGGGACTGAATGCTGGGCACAGGTAGCAGGCCTTTACTCTGATGCCACGGTGTGAGCCACAAGCCCTGTCCATGCAGCCTGGGGGAAACCCAGGCCCTGAGTCTGGGGCACTAGAAAGCCCAGGGCCTGATGTGCCTCATCTCCCCCACCGACTGCAGGCACTATACAGAGAACAAAGGGAGCTGGTGGCTGTGCTGAGGGAGCCTGAGTGAGGAGACCACTGCGCCCAGGCACAGAGGGCAGCCAAGGTCCAAGGCTGGTGACCCCAGATGGAGGAGGTGCCACGGGACTGGGAGAATGGCGTCCAGTACCTGAGCAGGGACGGAGGAGAGGGCCGAACCAGTCTACTGCCCCACATCTCACCTTTGAAACCTTCTGGGGCACACAGCACACTACCTTCCATTCCCCCATTTTCTTGGCCAGCATGCAATTGGGACAAAACAGGGTCCCCCTATCCTCCCTGCAGTTCCTGGCTTGGGGAATCTGGTTTTAATTTCCACTGATTATCCCCTGGCTGGCCAGCCTTCCCTTGTTCTCCCACATCCGGAAATAAACTTCCTCCTCTACACTGTAATCTGCGAGGTGCTTCTTCTGCTGGGCCTCTCCCAGCCACTACCCCTCCGGGGTCAGCTGAGGCCTCCCTCAGGGCCCTAAGCACCCCGGTGGGGCTGTGCAGGATGGAGGAGGGCGGGTGCACACAGAAGGGCAGCAGAGCCTCTTGTACAGAAACCAGGACCCCTGGATTCCCCAAGGCCAGAGGAACTGCCAGGAGGGGTGTCACTCCGCCTAACCCAGCAGCATCCCTCGCTGATGTCTGGGTGGACGCCTCCAGGGGAGCTGGCCCTGGGTACCTCCCCGCCAGGCTGCGCAAGGTGAAGGGGTTGGGTGCATGTTGGGGGCAAAGCTCCTTTCGCTGGTGAGGCTGGAGCCCCTGCTCAACCAGACCCCCCAGTACACACCTGGGGAACTGCACCACTCAACTTTCTAGACGGACACCCCTCCTGCTAGCTGGGCCTCATGTGGGGGTGGCAGAAGCCCCAGGTCTCTGTTTTCAGTTTGGCGGGTGGGTGGGTAAGGACACAGGTCAGATGGGAAGGTGCCAGGACAGCCTGTCCCCAAGCGGGCGAGGCTGAAAGCACAGCCCTTCCACAGGCCCTCTGCTGGGGCAGTGTGGGAGGGGAGGAGTACCTGGGGTGTCAACACTGAGAAGAGGCCGCACAGGCAGGAAGGGGGCCAGCAGCCCCCAGAGGTTCCTGCCCTCCTCCCTCCCCCATTAGGGCACCCCACCTCCCTGTCCTGGGCCCCTGACTTTCCCAGAGACCTGACTCCAGTTCCTCGCCCCGCACCCTTTGCTGCCAGCATCTCCCCTGCCCTAGTGCTCAAGCCTGGCCGGAGTCCAGCTGCCTCTGCCCCCGAGCCAGGCCTGCCTGGGGTCTCGTGGGGGCACAGCCCCTGGGTGAGCGAGGGCACTAGCGGGCACGCCCTCCCTGGGGTTTGGCTCCTGCCTGTGGCCAACAGGGAAAATCACAGGCTGCAACCCTGGGGTGGGTGGGGTGGTGGTGCAGAGGGCGGGGGGGGGCAGCTTGGTTCTGACCTATTTAGACCCCGAGCCTCTTCTTCCACATGCCCCTTCCCACTGCTTGGGCCTGCCCACCAGCCAGTACCTATCCTGAGAGTCAGTAGGGGCTGGGGGACCTGGGCCACCTGGAGACCCCCATGGGCCTAGAGGCCATATTCAGAGTCTGGTGGTCACAGATTGGGACCCATCCCCCCTCGTTCCCAGGCCCTGCCCCTGCTGCCAAAGCTCCCACCACAACATCCTTTGAGGTTTGGCCTACAGAACTGGGTGGATCCCCCATGACCCGCCCCCACATGGTCAGGCACCCCCTCCCCATGCCTCAGCGGCCCAGCTGGAGGGTATAAAGGGTGCCAGAGGCTGGAAAGGACAGGCCAGCTGATTCCAAGGAGAAGCCCCAGTACTCTGAGACAACCACCCACTGCAAGGCCCATCATGAAGCCCCTCCCGCTCCTGGCCCTGCTGGGCCTGGCCACCATCTGTCTGGTGGGCCAGGCAGGTGAGTGCTCCACCTCCAGCCAGCCAGCATCCTGAGCCATCGGGCCCGTGCCCCTCTCCCCATCCTGCACGAGCAGTCCCTTCTGCAGTCTAACCAGTCTAAAAGTGGCTCACCCCACTTTCCCCCTGCTCTGTCCAGCCTGTGGGGGGAGAGGAGGGTGCAGGCTCTGCAGGGATGGGGGGTGAGCAGGGGTGAATGGCTCCTATTCCTTTGCAGATGCAAAGCCCAGTGGCGCAGAGTCTGGCAAAGGTGCAGGTACGAAGTGGGGGAGACAGGGTTGGAGGCCTCCACCCCCCTTCAGCTTCTCTCAGGCTGTTGGGCAGACAAGCCCACTCTCCACCTGACCCACCCCTCTGCTCCCCAGCCTTCGTGTCCAAGCAGGAGGGCAGTGAAGTGGTGAGGCGAGCCAGGCGCTACCTGGACCAAGGGCTGGGGTAAGGAGAGGGGCCGGGCCGGGCCCGGGAGGCGTGGGACGAGGGTGCTGGAGGTTCCGGAGCCCCAAGGGGCAGGGGTGAGCTCGCTGTGCTGGGTTTCTCAGAGTCCCAGCCCCCTACCCAGACCCCCTGGAGCCCAAGCGGGAGGTGTGTGAGCTGAACCCGGACTGTGATGAGCTGGCCGACCACATCGGCTTCCAGGAGGCCTACCAGCGCTTCTACGGCCCCGTCTAGGCCCTCAGGCCCTGCAGGCCTCCGGATGCTGCTCCGCTCATTGCCTGGACCTCACAGGCCCTCCCAGCCCCCATCTTCCCAGCTTCTCCTACAATAAAACCCAGCAGAGGACTTGCTGGACGGATGATTCCTTGTCTGGTCTCTGGAGTTAAGGCGGGGTGGGCCCAGAAAGTACTGCTTAGAATGGACTTTAGTTCATTTATTTGTACCAGAAAGCACGTGAGGTGGCTTGCTAATGGCTAACCAAGGGTCCTGCCTCAGTCCCGCCCATGGACACCCCGAGGATACATGGGGGACAAGGTTGTCCCCAGGCTGTGAGCAGGACAGATAGCTGCTGGCAGAGGGTGTGCCAGCCGTGGGAGCGGAGGGTTAGTGGTTGGAGCAGTCATGTTCGTTCTTCCCGGGGCTGAGCAGACTTCAGGAGCCCCCAGACCCACAACCCACTTTGGGCAGGGGAAGGGCAGTGTGGCCTGGACACACACACATGCACACACCCTCTCAGAACATCCCGGCTCCTCCCGAGCACCCTCAAGCCCCACACCCCCCCAAAGCCCCACCCATTCACTCCCAACCAGTGGGTGCCCCTTGCCCTCGGCCCTCTGCACCTTCTGTACACGCTCCTCCACTCCAGGCTCAGACGTCACCCCACCCCACCGCCACACAGCTCAGCATCCTGGGCCTGGCCCTGCCTCCCCCAGGTGGCAGGGGTGCTCACTGTTGTTTGTCCCTGGTGCCCTCCTCTGGCAGGCAACCCTGCAACAAGGGGCATGAGCTGGGGGCCCGCAACAGGGCAGCTGTGAAGGAGGCGATGATGAGCAGGTTGCCGGCCACTGCCAGGCCAAGTGTGGCCGCCATGCCTCCCAGGCTGAGGGCAGGCGGTAGCGCTGCCAGCCAGGTGCGCCTGGTCCCCATGTCAGCCAGGACTGCCTCCAGCTGGAAGTGGGTACCCAGCACAGCGCAGATGTGGAACAGCTGGTGGCTGTGGCCTAGGAGTGGGGAGCTGGTCAGGACCATCCCCCTCTGAGAGCAGCCCTGGCTGGTTGTGCTACGCCACCAGAAGACCAAAGGCCGGCTTGTACAGGGGGACAGGGGTGGTAGTGGGGGTGTGCCTAACAGTGCCAGGCTTAGTTCGAACCCGGCTCCCAGCATCGCCAATTACATGCTGCTGGTTTTGCTGTTACCTGGCCAGTGGGGGGTTGGTGGGGGGAGGTCGGTCTGGACCCTGAGGCCCGTTCCAGATGCCCTCTGGTTGGGACGCCCCTCCCACCCAGCCTCGGGGAAGCTGCCCCTCCCGGCCGGCCACCCCGGGCTCTCACCGATGTAGTCAAAGCGGCCCGGGGCGAGGCGCTCCGGGAGGTGGGAGGTGAAGAGGAAGGCGGTGAGCAGCGCGCAGAGGAGGTGGTAGCTGTGGCTGGGGCTCAGCGCCTCCTGCCCGCAGTGGTGGGCCCGGCCCCAGCACAGCCCGAGCTAGTCGGAGAGAACAGGGCTGGGCTCTGGGAGCGCACGTGGGGGGTCTACGGTCTGGTGGGGTTGCACATGAGGGTGGGCTGGGTGGAGTGGGGCTGGAAGGGGGCGGCCTGAAGGGCAGGCTGGGGCGGGCCGCGGGCACCCTTACCCGGTAGAAGAGCGGGAGGTTGTCGAACAGGAAGGGGTGGGCGAAGGCAGTGGTGCGGAGGACCTTACAGAGCCTCGGGCTTTCCAGCTCCAGGAACCTGGGGGGCCGAGGGCAAGGCAGGTGGGTCCCCATCCCTGTGCTGGAGGTGTGCACCAGGGAAGGGAGGGGACCGTCAGCCTCGGGCCACGACGAGTGTCAATGTGGCTCGATGGCTAACGGTGCCCATAGGACACGTGGCCACGCCTGTCAAGCTCAGAGGTGACCGTGCGGATCGGTGCTAGTGTGCACAGTCCCCAGCGAAGAGCATGCCATCGCCAGCCTCCAGGGGTTCCAGGAGCCTGCGGGTTTGAGGAACCCACCGGGAGTAGCAAGCGAGGCCTGTGCACAGGAAGGAATTGAGTGCGGCGGCGGGCACAAAGAGCTGGTGCAGGGGGCCGTGCAGCCAGGAGGTCGGCATGGAGTAGGCGGCATAGGGGAAGGCGCAGCCTGCGGTGAGGTGGGTGGGGTTACGGAGGCTCCTCCCTCCTCGTCCTGACGTCACAGCCTCCCGCCCCGCCCCCCGGCGCTCACCCAGGCTGTACAGGCTGAGTGCGCCGTAGTCCAAGAAGTAGCAGATGTGACGCGCGCGGGGCGACATGGAGCTGAAAGTGTGTGCGCAGCACGACGCGAAGGGGTAGAGGCAGGCGGGCAGCAGGAAGATGAGCAGCGGCCAGTGGTACGGCTCCGACAGGAAGCCTGGGCCTCCAGCCAGCGCCAGGAGGCGCCACAGGAAGTACCTGCGGCCGGCATGGGCTCAGGTGGTCTCAGAACCCCCCGCGATTCCCGCTTCAGCCCCTTACACGAACCCTAGATGCCCCTGCCCGCCTGGGGACCCCTCTGAGTTCAAGGTGTGGCCTGGGGCCGAGCCGCCCCTCACCACCTCACCAGGTGGGCAGGAAGTGAGTCCAGATGTTGACCGTCTCGTTGGTCATCTGGAAGGAGCTCAGGACACAATCCAAGGCCGAGCTGGTGGGCCGGCGGTAACCAGACACGATGCCATCTTCCCAGAACACCTGGGGCAGGCAATGGAAGGAAGGGGGAGCAGAGGGGTCCCTGGGGCGTGCTCACTTAGGAGATCCCTGGAAGCAGGGTCGAGGATGTCCCCGAGGTCACAATGGGCCCCAAAGTCAAGTTAAACCAATGAAACGCCCCTTCCTTCCTGGGGTCCCGGGACCAGAGGGGCAGGGTAAGGGGACGGGGTAGGTAGAGGGTGAAGAGAGGGCGCTGGCCCCAGGAGTACGCTGGGCTCTCTCCAGGGCAAGTCCATCACAGTGAGCGAGTGAGTGTTAGTCAGAGAGCGACAGATGGACACTAGCACGGGAGGGGCAGGAATTAGTCTGCGGGGGTTGGGAAGTGTAGCTCCACAAGAGCTAAGACTGAACCTGTGTCCCAGTTGGTCCCCTGGAAGTGGGGTTGGTGGGTCAAACCCTCACCCGGGGCACCTGGTGGACTTGCAGGAGTTGGGGCAGCTTGAGGCTGAGCATGGCGGCCTGGTGCCTCCACGGTGACCTGGAGGAAGTGGGAGAGTTGTTGGGTGGGGGCAGTCAGGTGCCTGCCCCCATCCACAGCCCTCTGTCACTGAGCCCCAGGGTTCAGGCTGTGTGTGCGTGTGCGCGCGCGTGCTCGCCTGCCTTCAGCCATTAGAGCCTCAGTCCCTCCCTGGCTGCCAGTCCAAGTGCCCCATTCTGCCCCCAGGGCAAATCCATCTAGAGGGGTCAGTCAGCCTGGAGTAGCGGTCTAATCGCTACTGTTACCAACCTCAGGCCCCAATTCCTGCTGAGAACCGGAGCATCCCCACTACCACACCCACTTTCCCCTCCTCCCACCAGACAGCCCAGACCTACAGAGCCTGAGAGGGGTGAAGGCCGAACCCCTCCCACCCTCAGGGGTAATTCCTGGAGAGGCCAGCTGCCTGCCAGCAGACCAAGGCATTAATTATGGGTTGCTTGGCTATCTCTGAGGACATCACTTGTACCCCTGGGGGGCGTGTGAGGTAGGTCCCTGCCCCAATGAGCCCCGTGCCCTTCTGCCCAGACCTACCCACTGTTCTGCTGCCCCGCCCACCCAGGCACATTCCTTGGCACCGGCGGAGGGGCTGGGCCCGTGGTGGGCGGAGCCGCACAGAGGGAGGGAGGAGAGGCCGCTCAGCCTGCCCCACCTTCCCAGGCCCAAACTTTCCAGTAACCCTGCAGCCCCCGCGCCCCTTCGCCCAGGCCCAGCTCCGAGTGCGGCTGTCTGTACAAGGTATCCACATGGTTGCCTCTCTGCCACTCAAGTTTAGGGCATTCCTAGCCCCTGAACTGGGTGCTGGGGGCCAAACTGGCCCCTAGCCCCTGTCCTCCAGTGGCATCTGAAGAGGAGGACCTGCCCCCAGGGTATCCCCACCCCTGAGGGCTGGCCTGTCCTAAAGTGCTGCCCAGTCTGAGGGGGAGCAGAGGAGAGGCTGAGCACTGTCTCCCCAGGGATCCATCCCTAAGATGTAGTTTTGAGGTCTCTCCTTTGGGTGAGTGTGCTGTTACCATGGAAATGGGCAGGGCAGCTGGAGTTTCCCCAGACTAAGAGGTTCAGGGGAGCTTTCTTACCCTGAGCTTGAGGGGTGCTCCTAAGCCGTTGGGTCAGCAGGCAGAGTCCCAGGCTCCTGCTAGTCAGGCTGAGGGGAGGGGAAGGAGGGAGGAGAGTAGCCTGGCACTTGGGCCAGGCCTGGGCGGGGAATGGGGGCACAAAGGGGAGTCAGGGAACAATCCTAGCCTTGTCAAGCCTCCAGAGAACAGCGCAGGGTGGCCCAGCCCCATTAGCAGGCAGCTCACTGGGCCTCCCACACACAACCACCCCCCACCCCCACCCCACCCCACCAGCTTGACCCAGCCTTAGATTGGGCAAGGGTTCTCAGGCTGGGCTGCACCCCATTCCTAGGCTCTCCTAGGAGTTGAGGATAACTCTGCCATTGCCACAAATCTTGAACTAGATTCCAGAAATCACCCCCCACATCTTCCCGCCTCTTAGCACCTGGAACTGGGCAAAATTCAAATGCCTTTGGTAAATCAGTGTTGGTTCAACAGGGATTCTGCCAAGCCTGTCTGCCCTCACCCCCGTGGATACAGCTTGAGGTGCCAGTCCTTGCAGAGGGGTAGACTGGAGCCAAGGCGGCCCATTCGGAGGACCTAGATCTGGGTCAGAATTGAGTGGTTTGGTTGAACTGCAGATTTCCCAAGAGAAGCGCCCAAGCCCGATAGCTGCCTGCGAGCAAAATGTTTCCACCACCTCAGTTCACAGGGGCCTGATGGATCCCTGCAAACTCCAGGGACTTCCTTCAAATTGTTCATCCCACTCACCAGGCAGCTTTTCCAAATGCACTGCACCAAGTAGCCCCCCTACCCCGGGTCCCACTCCTCCACACAGAAAGGCAACAGGAGTCAGGCAGTGGGCTTAGGGGGATCTTTATTGATGCTGTCTCGGTCTCCACCAGGGCTGGGGTGTCTCTGCCCCCCCAGGTGTTCCCAGACTTGCTATCTTAGACACAGGGAGCGAGCCTGCTCTCCTCTAAGCAGAGCGTGGGAAGCAGGGCTAGCCCTGTGGGGAGGGGGTAGCAGAACAAATATCCTCACCCCCACCCCACGCTATGCTCTCAGCCTGAGCGGGAGGACCCAAGGCAAGCCTGCCCCCCCCCCTCTCATGGCTCCTGATGCTCCGCATGCCCTGAGATATTCATGATCTCTGCCCCCACTTCTCCCACATTCACCTCCACACCCCAAAGCTAGCCCCCTGCCGCCCCCCCCCAACCCCGCCAGCCCTGGG